TTTTTTTCTGCAGAGAATGACTTGAACCTCAGAGATTTGGACCTATGATGGCAAATGAGGACAGAGAAATAGGAATCTATAGATTATTCCAAAAAAACTTGTAAGAGTTTTGCTTGAGTGAGTGTTCAGTCACCTATTTTTATGCATAATTTGTTCAGTTTTGTGGGTGTCATGTCTATTGTAGTTGGCTAACCCAACTTTCCATGATTTCTGTATTATACAATGCAGTTTTAGAAGTAGTCAATTTTGTGTAGCATGGCATATTTGAGAAATATTTTCAGCATTGCAACATTCTATAACTTATCTTCTGTGTACAAAGTGTTTAAGTGCCAAGTTTGTAATTTTTTTTTTTTAGAAAAAATGATTTCTAACATTAGAAAAACAAAATGCTGTTTTGAAAATACTCTGCATAGTCTGAGTTGGGTACCTTGTGAATAGAAATTCAATTAAACTCACTTATTTAAGCTAATTAATTGGTGTGTACCCTGCTGGAATAGAGCTCACAGTGTTCTATTAAAATCGCGGGGAGACTTCCCGCTGCCGGGCCACACCCCCTCCCTCGCCACAGCCTCGGTTCGGAGGACGTCTTGTCATCTCGCGTTATTGGAGGCGTCGCGAGACCGGAAGCTACTTTACTTTTTCCCACCCTCTGTCCTAGTCCCGAAGAGTGGGCGGGTCCTGGCCGGAGGCGGAGCCTGGCACCCCCGAGCCCACACCGTCCCGCGCGGCCCCCTGGGAAATTCTTAGACAGGCGACTCGAAGGCGGAAGGAAGCCGCGCAGGGCGCGTAGCCTTTCGCGGGGTCGGGCGGAGTTGACAGCCCGGCTCCGAGAGCCCCGACGTGCGGTGCTGCCCGACTGACGAGTGTTTGTCAGTTTCCTAGACTGCGCCTGGGGGTTTCGAGACGGAAGGCAGAATGAGACATCTGCAACGTCGAGCCAGCTGTTTTCTTCTAGACTCTTTCATATTTTACGTTTTTCTCAAAATGGGTTAATACAGCGGTCAGCTTTAAAGCGGGGTTACGCAGACCGGCACAGGTAGGACGCACCTCTTTTCCACAACATGTCCTGCAGGATGGCCAAAAACTAAAAGATAATATTAATACCAAATGTCGGCAAGGATGCAGAGCAACTTTTCACATGTGTAGGATGGTGGGAATGCTCTGGCCGGGCTCGGTGGCTCAGCCTGTAATCCCTGTGCTTTGGGATGCTGAGGTGAGTGGATTGCCTGAGCCCGCGGGTTCGAGACCCGCCTGGGCAACTTGGCGAGACCTCATCGCTACAATAAATCAAATATTATCCGGGTGTGGTAGCGCGCTCCTGTAGTTCCAGCTACTTGGAAGGCTGAGGCGGAAGGATCGCCGGAGCCCAGCAGGTCGAGGCTGCGGTGGCCGGGAGCAACCATTGCACTCCAGTCTGGGTTACAGAGTGAGACTCCAACTCAAAAAAAAGAAAAGAAAACTTATCTCTTACTATATGTTATTTACCATATGACCAGTAATTCATTCATAGGTATTTATCTAGGAATGAAA